GCCTGGAGGGTGCCTGCTGGCGTGGGCCAGGAAGTCAGACTTCCTTTCTGCTTGCCCGGGTGGGTGTCTTGGGCTCAGTCCTCAGCCTAGGAATCCAACCCCAAAAGATGCAAGCCAGTTAGTTGGGTCTCTGGGTCATCAGCACTGACCCGTGCCCCTCATATGTACCCCCGAGGATAGAGCCTCAGGCCTGGATCCTGCATGCTTTCCAGCCGCTCAGGCTCATTCATTGAAGTGAGACGCTGTAGACCTGTGGAATAAGTCATGGAAGACAACTCTGGGCAAAATACACATACTCTTTTTCCGTCCTGAGTTGTACAGTGGGCATCTTTTACTCGCCAGTATCCTCTCCACCATCCCTTCTCCTCTGTGGGTTACCCTACGACTTGTCTTGGGAAAGGCCTGGGTCTTCCAGACCTGCTAGCAGCTGGCTTTTAAAACACCCCACTGATGTTCAGCACCTTATGCCTGCCCAGACACTGTCTAATTTCTTAGCTGAGATGAACTCCCAAGATGAGCCTAATCTGATTTTCTTTGAGCACCATCTGGCTTCTTGGATAAAGTCTCAATTACTTTTGTGACTTATTTTGTGACCAGCCTTGGCTGCCAACAGCCTGGCTGATGTGGACTTATTGAAACGAATGGCCATTATTAATGTCACCTCCTGAATCTGAGCAAGGGAGATTCACCTTTCTGTGAATTTGTCTGTAAATAGGAGACTATTTACTTGAATGTGAGGTTTTATTTTCCTCATTTAGCCTTGTTAGTTTGGTGAATTAATTTACCATAAAAGCAGTAGCCACTCTGTTGGATGGCAGCTCCTTATTTCAGAAGGGAGAACTGAGACATCATGAAAATGCTAGCTCCCAAGGTCTCGCCTGTGGAAGGAAGAACAAAGAATACTGAGGCAGTAGTTGCTTTGCATTTTTTGTTTTTCAGGAAGGGTCTCTGTAGTCCAGGCTGGCTTTGAACTTAACGTTTACCATGATTCTTCTGCTTTATCCTCCCAAGTGCTTGGATTACAAAGTTGAGCTACCATGCTCAACTTTGCAGACAGGTTTTGTCTTAACCTCCAAGTTGTTGGTAGGAAATGCCTCAGTCTGTTTCTCCCAATCCTGTACAGTTATATGGAAAATGGACCCTGCGAAGCCTTCCTTAACCACCTGTCCTAGACTGGGAACAAATTCAGGCTAGGCAACTAAGCATGCCACAGCCTGCTCCAATACCACTTAACACAATGGTCTTCTTTTAGGATGCCCAGAACTGATCAGGTCTCCCAAATTATGTAGGTCTGACCTCACCATGAGGGCACTTTGATCTTACCATGGTCACTTGCCTGCCACATCAAACCAGACTCTAGACTTGGGGCAAAGAGCAATGTAACTATCTCTCAGAGTAGTTCTCAGGAGCATGTGGCTGAAGCGATGCCTGCTTGGTTTTCAGTCTGCAGCTGATGAGCCTTTCTCATACTTGTTCCCTTACTGCAGAGCCCCCAGTGGTGAAAGGTACAAATGGCTCCAGTGAGAGCCTATAGGCTGGAGGTGTCTTATCAGCCATAGCTGGCCTGCCTTTTGTCCCAGGGAACAGCCTGAACCCTCAAACCTACAAGCACACTGTGTCTCTGCCCTTTACATGTTTCCCAGCCTTTGTCCTCTGGTACATTTTTATGTTTCTTACTGAAAATAACACAATGTTTATGATTCCCCCCCAAAAAAAAATAATATTAAAAAAATTTACTCATGTCTTTGTTGGGGGGTGGTAGGTGTAGGTGGGTGTTCACGGAGGCCAGAAGGGGGCATCAGATCACCTGAAGCTGGAGTTACATGTGGTTGTGATTGCTGGGAACCAAATGTGGGTCTTAACCGCTGAGCCATCTTTAGTCCTGAGAAAATAATCTTGCTTTTTCAAAAGAGAAGAAACTGTCTGGTATATTATCTGTTTTTGCATTTTGTTTCTTTTTCTGCTTTGTTTTGTTTGAGACTGGTGTACACTAATTTAAGCTAGCCTGGCCTGGAACCCAATATGTAGCTCAAACTATTCTTGAGTTTGTGAAAATCCTCCTGCCTCAGCTTCCTGAGCCATCAAACCTGAAAATTTTATTTTCAAAATAAAAGAAAAAAATTTTCTTTTTCATGTGGCCCTATTTTTAATTTATAAGTGTGGGAGGAGACACTGAACAAAGCCCTTTCCCAATTCTCTTCCCTATTCCTGTTACATAATACAAAACTTTGGTTGACACTGAACTAAGTAGTGTTTATTGCCATTGTACCCAAGAGGAAACTGAGGCCAAGAAAGCTAAGCAAGGTTACCCTGTAAGGAGTAGAGCCAGATTGGTAATTTAACTTTGGGTTATATTCTCAGTAGTTTTTTGTATATTAACACACTTTCTGTAAGCATTACTAATAAGCTCTATACCTTAAACTTTTTGAAAGTTGTATTGTTTGTTTGTTTTTGTTTTTTAAGACAGTTTCTCTGTATGGCCCTGGCTGTCCTGGAACTTGGTCTGTAGACCAGGCTGGCCTTGAATTCAGAGATCTGCCTGCCTCTGCCTCTCAGGTGCTGGGATTAAAGGCTTATGCTACCATCGCCCGGCTTGCTAGGGTTTCAGATTTTGCCTGTGTATTAGAATGTATCACTTATCCACAGGAAAGCTGTCTGTGTGTACCAGTCATTGCTAAATGTTCTGCTCCTTAATGACCTGACCGAGTCCCTTGTGGAGAGCTGAATTTCGTACACAGAGAGTAGACCCAGAGTCTCCTTACTGGAAGAATGAAGCTGAGCAGGTGGAGGGAATAGAGTCCCATGTAGGTGCTGCTGTGCCAGCAGCCAGGGAAGGTCTGCTGTGCTGACAGCCAAGCTCTGGAATAGAACCTAGATACATCTGCATCTGACTCCTTTATTTTGTGGATATAGTAAATTAGGGTCTATATCTATTAAAACTTGCTTACTGACTAAAGAATTCACGTTTCCTGCGGTTCCTACAAACCTGCATTGTGTATCATTCAAATGGAACATTATTTAGTGCTAATAACCTCCGACTTCTTTACAGACATCAGAAACTACATGTTAGTAATCCAACACATGCATTTCTAGTAATTTCCAAATGCATTTGGTTTCTCTTTGCAGTAGTAAGAGTGATGAGCTAAGGTGAGGTGTTTTGCTTTTTTTTTTTTTTTTTTTTTTTTTTTTTGTATTGAGACAGCATGTCATGTATCCTGTATGTCTCTAGCTCTCTATATGACTTTGAACTCCTGATCCTTCTGCCTTTACTTCCCAAGATGCTAGCTAGGATTATAGGTATGTGCCCCCCACATCTGGTGGTTTGGGGGGTTTTGTTTGTTTTTGTTTTTGCAGTGGTGGGGCTTTGTGCTGGCAAACCAACTGAGCCACACTCAGCCCTTATGTGAGGTTTTTAAGTGACAGCCTAGGTTGTTTCTAGGTGATAGTCCTGCACTGGATGACTTCATGGTAGATTTCAAAGAGGTACCTCCATCTGAATGGTGACTTCAGCACAATTCATGTTGGATACTGCACTCTGGATGATAGCTTGTTACGATAAATCTTTCCGCCAAAGCCGCCCGAGCCCTACCATCAAGTGGGCGGTCTCCACCAGCCGCCCAAGTTCTGCCCGTTGCATGGATGGACAAAATAATACACAGACTTATATTAGGTACAAATGCTGCTTGGCCAATGACTAGGATTTCTCATCTGTTAGCTCAGTCTTAATTATCACAAGTCTATATATTTTATAAGACATATCTTATTGGACACCTTCCATTGGTGTCCTCCCTTGCCGGTGGATCACATTGCGCGAAGGGGAAAAGGGGACCACTTCCTGTTTGTCCTTGCTTAAATATGAGTCTCCTTGCTATGTCACTTCCTGCCTGGATCATCACTTCTCTACTATATTTCCCAGAATCCTCCTCGACTCCTAGTCCTGCCCAACTGGCTGCCTCATTGGCCAAACAGTGCTTTATTTATCATCCAGTAAGACAAATACATACACAGAAGCACTTCCCCCACCAATAGCTTATAACTTTAAGCATGTTAAATTTGTTATGGTAAATAATCATAGAAATGAGCAGGTGAGATTGCCCACTGGGTGAAGGTGCTTGCCTCAAGCAGGACTTGAGTTCAATCTCAGGAACCACATGGTAGAAGGAGAGAACTAACACTTGTAGTTGACCTCTGACCTGTACATGTACACCATAGTGCACACTTAACTGCCCACATATACTTGCACACATAATAAATGAGTGTTTTAAATAATTTCAGCCTTGGCCAGGTAGTGCTGGCACATACCTTTATTCCCAGCACTTGGGAGGCAGAGGCAGGAGGATCTCTGTGAGTTCAAGGCCAGCCTGGTCTACAAAGCCAGTTCCAGGACAGCTAGGACTGTTACACAGAGAAACCATCTGGAAAGGGAAAAAAAATTCAGCTTTAGAATTGAGGCTATTTTTCCATAGTTTTCTGTGGTCATCTATCTAACTTGGGGGCTGCTCACCATGAGAGTAAGAGGTAGTCATG